CCAAGGACTACAATGGGTAGATAGGTGTGGCTTTCGATTCTAGATTCGTGAAGCGGAAAAACTTCCAAAACTCGATAGCTGGCGCAGTTTTCGATGATTATGCCGACGGGATTTAGGAGAATTATCGATGCCTTCGAACCACGGAAACCATCTCTCGTAGAATGATTGAATATCGCAGCCCCGTCGAGCAATCAGTGGGCTCTAACCAAGCTTTCATGAAAACTAACCCCAATTCCGTCAAACAGTGGGCCGATAGAGAGATAGGTCTATTTGCCATGATTTGACACCTCGGCAAGTCGACCGCTTGCCGGAAAAATCGTCATTAAACGTTTTCACGTGAATCTACGGTAATGTCATTGACATTACCTAGCTTCTTGCTTTTTTCATTCTCCTCTCGGAGAAGGGGAAATGCCTATGCGCGCACCTGCTCTCCCGCAGCTAGTGTGGGGCTTGCACCCACTGGAACCCCTCCTCTCCCCTCAATTGCCCGGAACTTGCTAGGGTAGTACTTCTGGCGGATTGCACCTGAGGTTCGTCAATCGGATTATTATCGGACAAGGTGCCGGGTCGTGAGTCGGAATCGACTCCTCCGATCGAAGACTCTAAGCTCAATGGAGGGAGGGGAGTAGCTCTCGGAGCGTAGCTCTTCCAATCACCCCGGACGATTCGCATAATAGATTTGATTTATGGCAGTGGAACAGATTGTGTTAGACTCCAAATGGGCAATTCGAGTTGGCCTAATGTGGCGATTCTTTTCCCTGTATGACCGACAAGATTTCTTCAGGAGTTACCCTCTGGAGTCGATGCGAAATTAGGGGAAAACCGGAGCGCTCAGCCTGTCGCCGTGATCGGAGCTCTCGATCCGTTCATGAGGAGTTTGTGTCCCTTGAGAAGATCAAAGACTTTTTCCAGCTTCCCTGTCTTCGACCCTGAGGCGGCCCAATTGGTCCGGTCGATCTCCTCTCCCTTGACACTTGTGGGTAGATCTTCAGCTGTGAGTGGCGGCGACGAGCCGCTCCGTACGTACCCCAATTCTAGCCGAGTCACTGCTTCCGAGGGACTTAGCATCGTTATCAGACCGTGTTGACTCGTGTAGGTTTGTTGCAGTCGTATTCTTAGGGAGTTCTGATGGACATCTAATCCATTCGGAGAATTAGTTTTTTCTGTCGTTCGTAGTATCGGGATAAGTTTTTCTTTATCCACTCGACGCCAATACGGAAATGCGAACCGCTGATGCAAAATGCAGAGAGTGTGAATGCAGAGTCCCGGGCTCCGTCCTATGGCGATCTGGCCGGCTCTTAACGCTAATTGAAAGAAAACACGGGGTGCCGTGTTCAAGCACTGGGCGCTAGAGCTCTAGATTATCGCCCCCCTCCTAGCTGGAAAGCTAGAAAGCAGCTTACGTTGTCTTGATCGATATCCGGAACAGCGCTGGTGACTCGCGGTGGTGCAGTCTGCAGAACTCCTCTTCACGGCTGCCGAAACCTTCAGTGTCGGCACGGGGTCTGTCTCAGAGCTGGAATCCTGAGCAAACGTGAAGCCACACTGACTAGACCTCAACCGGGCTAACAAATTCACAAACTCGTAATCGATTCGCTCAGCCGAACCCCGCGGGTAGCGATGGAACCGCGCTCCCCTGCGTTAGGATTCGAAGCCGGAACTCGTCGCGTGAAGGAAACCCATTTTTCATTCCTGTACCGCTCCCTACGACCAACGAATTATATCGCTTCAGACCGTGATGTCGGGGCCTCCCTATTTTCCTCACGACCGCCCTGCATCCGTGACCGCCCCCCGTGAGTCTCTGTGAAGAGCGTTCCATTGAATCCCCAGAGGACTGGAGTCTCTCCCTCCTGGGCTGCGTTCGGGAAGACTGGAGTAGTCTTGACCGCTTGAAACCTAAATAAAAAAACTCTTCGGGCTGAGCCGTACAGCCAAGTTTCAACGTCCCGGTTACTGTTATTCACCTTGCTTCCGCTTGAAACCTATCACCAAGGAAACTCCCAGAAGTCTTGGGCGGGCCGCGCCCCTGAAAGCGGTGGGTAGGGTGTGGAGATAGTGTCGCGCATTCGCGCTCGTGAACGCGACCCTCGATAGCCCCAATCAAACATACTAAGGAAGAAGTCGAGTCTGATCTTTGCTTTTTTTCCACGGGTCATATCATCAAATTGGATTCCGCAGGAGGATGTCCCAAAGGATTGAAAAAAGCATTCATTCACCGGAGGGTGGATACGCATCGCCCGCAGACTCCCTCGTTGAACAGACAGACGTCATCAGACTTGATGAGGGAATAAACGCGTTGAAGCGATAAACGATGACGGGAACTCTCGAATCGATTTATCGAGGCTTTTGTCCGGAAGAAACTCAGTATGGTACCGGCTCGCCCGGTCAGAAGAACATAACTCTGAGCGGGAATCAAAAAGGTCGACTCGTACAATGCCTCGCCGTCATAGCTTGTACCTTAATCCGACGCTGACCGCGATTTGATTTCCACCCTCTGGGCTGTGGGGCGTCTCCGGGAGACTCTACCGGGAACCATAGTGCTCTGCTGACGTTCACTCTCTCGGAATCGACAGTAAGGCATAGAGTCCAACTCGATGCGCTTATCTTCTTTCGGTTTGTTCCCCCTTACCTCCATTAGTAGTACCGCAAGAGGTCCATGGAACTTCTCCATGGTCCCAGGGATTTAGTCCGATATTCGTCTGCCGATCTGGGAAGCCACGAGGATCCCGAAGAGAACACCATTCTAGAATTCCGCAAGGATTCCCGCCTTGTTCTCGAAAGAGACAGGATTCCCCGATTGAAGTCCGCTGGAGTCGAAGCCGCAATCTCACGTAGAAACGGAAGCCACTGTGGTTTAAGCAAATCTGCCTGTTTTGTCAAGACCGCTGGGCTATCGCTTTTATTATGGCAGGAATTCTGCGAGCATCCTCAGCTAGAGCGCTATATCATTGTGCATCTGAACTCCGGTAAATGGGACCCCATCGCGTATAATCCTCGGAGCAACTTCGGATGCGAACATGTAGACATGCTCGGGCGCCGCAAAACTGCTCCCGAGAAGATGCTTCGTCACGGGGCTGGCCGTCCAGCGAGACGAGGATGATGAATTTTTCAGCAAACATCACGATTCTGAAATTCACAGCATCGATCCGGCGTTTCGTGGATTCTGACACCGTTAGTTCTCTAACTTTTCCGTCCCGCCCGAGAAGCAAGCATCTGAAGAATCCATCCCTTACTCTGCGAACCATGAGAGAATCGAAAGCCGACGGCACATCTGGGAAATAGAGTTCTCGGGAGCATATCGCTCACTGCCAACTCTCGCCTCAAAGCCGAGCTCATCGGTGTCGCGCAGAATCGCCAATTGCTGGATTAAGATGATATCTAACTTTCCTTTCCTTCGACCTCGATCTCCGGGTGCGGAGTAACTTCCGTTAAAATCCAAGGACGTCTATTATGGCGTAGCGTACTTAAGGGAGAACAAGCAAAGCTCTGTACGAGAACGGCAATGACCATGGACTCTGAGCCCCATAACAACACAGAGATGGATCCATCCACTGTCTCACTTCCAACCTACGTGTCAAATTACCCCCTTGTGAGCTATCGTTGAGCTAAGAATCTTCCAACGGCGACAAGCTTACCCAGATCCTGAGCGCGAGAAGGAAAAGTCAATGCGCTAGAGCGAACCTCTCACCCCCCGGATAATAGTTGTTCCTGCTCCTCCGCATCCCACCAAGAACGGTCATGTCTCTGAACTCGTTCGAGTTTTTCGCTGGATTGCGAAATGAGGATTTTTTAGACCAATCAGTCATCGGGATCAGCGGGGCGAACCTTCCGAGAAGCGTGGAAATCCGGCGCGTCGAGTCTGAGGAACATTCTGTCCCGCGGAGACCAGAAAATCGGTCTCTCAAGTGGTGCACCTCCTCCAACGACGCTGCTCTTACCAGAAACAACCCAGAGTGGGGAAACTCTGATGGGAACATTTTTGCATTTCTTTTGATTCACTAGCTGAATTCATCGGCTTAGTGTGAGATCCGCCATTCGCGACTCATGAGGTAGAAATCGCTCGGTATCGCGCACAGCGAGAAAATAGACTGCCGAGAAGGGCCTGGCGACAATCTGGCGAAAGACACAGCATCCGAGGTCTGCTCGAATCATGGGTAGTTTTTCCTGCATGAAAATATTCGGATGTACTCGCGAGGACTTGGAGAGCTCGTTCATGTGTTGACGCGAATGTAAGACGGCGACAGCTCGCTTCTGAGCGGGACCAATTGTGCTGCAGACACTCGAGTTGTCTCACCCAGATTATGCCTTCGCGAGAAGAGCCGTACGGCGAAGGATAAACAATGTTTGAGTGAATTCCCATCTCACGAATAGAAGCTCCTCTGGGGCAGAATCTCAATCAGAGCCAGGCCGTACTCCTGAGTGGAATGTGTGCGGTTTTAATTTCGGATGACGATTGCATTTGCTCGCGAGCGAGGGGGTCGGCCCACGCGCGGGTCCATCCGCCGCGTCGGCCCACCATCGACGGTATCTTCGATGGGCGATGGGAGGATTGAACGAACGAACTCGGAAACCGACTGCACGAGGATAGACCTTCGGAGTCGGGATGCGGAGATGCTTGTGCGAAGCGAAAACGGAGTGTCGACATAACCGTCACTGAGACGTTTAAACTCATGACGTGATCAGACTTGTACAACAGCAGCTCCGATTACAGTTTGTTCTCTTGACTCTGTCGTCTCTCTTGAGTTGCTTCCCTCCGAATCGTGAGCCATCTTTCGTGAGAATTCGTGACTATGGTCCTCTTCGTCGACCGCATGGTTCATATTCGAGAATTCGTGTCGCATTGAGAGGAAGATTCCAATCCGAGGAGCAAATTGAGGAGTCGTGGCCGCTTTGGATACTCCCAGCGGACGGCATCATATTTTCATGACGAGCTCCCATCAGAGTGAAATCCATCGGTCTCTGCTTGCCTCGTCCCGTGCCGCTCTCCTTTGATTTCGATTGCCCGTGCTGTTATCATCTGCTGGTACGTACGACCTTGGAAAACTTTCAGACATCTTCATTGTGGATGTTCTGTTTGCTTGCCGACAGAGTGTACCGATACTCGCGTGTAAAATACGAGACAAACCTCCAGGGATTCGGAACGCTTCTCCGAACAAAGGTTAATGGTTTCCGATGCCAGTGCCTCCGCTGACGAAGGAGGGAGTGGTGCAAAACAGAAAGTGAGCAGACTATTATACAATGGATGGATGACAGGCAAGCATTCAACAGTTTCCGAGCGAAATCAAAGTCAGTAGGCATATTATCATTTGAATTCTCTGCATCCACAATATTCCTCCAGATGACCGGGGGGGAGAGGAAAAATGCGATAGAACGGCGCATTCACGTGAGCCAAGTTCAAGGAGTCGTTTGGCAAGCGTGTGGTCCATCACCGGAAACTCTCGAATGGACGGTATTCAAGTGACGTTCATCTGGCGGACTCGCTGAGAGAAAGTGTCAATCGAAGTCGTGTAGAGAAATCCGTATCTCTTATGTTCCGCTTGTTTTCGGATCCAAGTAAGCCTCGCAGCTTTGGGTAGATATTGGGTGGTCCTATTGAAAGAAGTCTCCTTTCGCTGATCGGATCCCATCATCGAGGTAATCTTCGATTAGTCCGCTCCCCGATGGAGTCCCTTTACCTTTCCCCGCGGGGAGAATACCTTGAGACCGAGATGCGGCCCGATACGGCCGAAGTGTGTACTCGTGCCGAACGAGCATTTGACTTCGCGAATTTCTGTTCCGAATCCCATGCTCACCGAGTCTTCGCGGACGCTTTGAACCCACTCAGTCGAAAATTCAGCCCGTCTCGAGCAATATATCAGCTCAGTCTGAGAATACGGGCGGCCAGAATCGCCATAATGCAAAGTAAGCTTGAATGATGAGCTGCCGTGCGATAAAACATCATCCGCATTTCTAGACTGCAAGTCCTAGTGCGGAATCCTGTGGGAAAATATTAGCCGTCATGGGCGGACAAGAGACTCTAAACATTCCGATAAACGAGCAATTTATTCACTGCCGTTGTCCGCATTTCACGGGCTGGTAAAGGACACTGAACGGCTCAGGCAGTCATTGACATGGAAGATCAAGCACGAGACACCAAAACATATGGAGATACTTGGTAGCTCACCCGTTCCACAGCTTCGGTCGATTTCAGATCCATGTAATCCGAGTCGAAGCCATGCTTAATACACCACAAATTACGAGCTTCAGGTGATGAGCGACACGTCACGGAATGCGGTATTAGTTGATGCACCTCGAGCTTCGCCTAATCATTGAGCCATCCCGACAAATCGCCCACCGTATCTCATTAGGAATCCGAATGAAGCCTCCTGAGCAGGGTTTTCGCGCCATCTCGGGGCCCGGCATCGCTCAAGCTCCCGAAACCTTTCGGTGTCTTCGATCCTCCCTGGTTTCGTCCTAATTGGTGAGGGAATCGATTTCGATTGATCCATTGGACCTGTGAAGTAGAGGAACAATAAATCATAGACGCGGCTGATCTTGTATCGAATGCTCCCGAATGCTGCCTGGCTATTTGCCGCTCACGGGATAGTGCTTGTCGCTTTCGAGATATTCGATGTTCTATGATCTATTTTTTCATTCCGTCCGAATGAGTCGTTGTTTTCCTTTTGCTGCCGAGAGCATCTATGACTACTGCAGGTCACCGCCGAGCAAACTCCCAGGGGCAGGGCCCCTGAAGAACGAATACGACGCGGGACCCACCTTGACATGCGCCCTGAATCGCCAATAAAGAAAATCAGTCCCCCTATCAATATCGTGCTTCCGAAGCGATTTCTGTGAGCTTCCATCCAATGATAAACATTGCTCGCATAACAGGAGGATCGAACTGAGGAAAATGTTGGTTGATCCCATGTGAACTTGAGAAAGCACTCAGAAGCTCGGAACGAGCTCAGAAAACGGGCCCCGGACACGACCCTTGATCTAAACACGACCAAGGTCGCTTCGAAATCAAGGTCCCAGTATCCAGTCGCGTTGATTCTCCAACTCATTCGCGGATCACTCTCGATGGTCGGGGAACTATTCTATCTGAGCTGATGATTCCACGGAATGCTCACTTCGGCGATGGAGAAGATGGAATTGAGGGACATGAATGAGAGGAACCGAAGTCGGTGACGGGGCTGTATTTCGGACGAGAATCAACAATTTATCGCGGCCACTATGTGAAAGTCGGACTGTTTCTCCCGAATCGATCACGAGGAAAACATAAGTTGAGGGCGACATGGTTCTTCTATGATGACCTTTCGGCGGAATGCCTATGAATTCGAGCCGCGACGCCACTATCTAAGTGACAGTCTGGGGTATCGTCGTGTCGAATATCGAAGACGATAGTTCTGATGACACGCGAAGCTAGCCCCTGCGTATTCGAATCTGGCGTTGGCGATGCTACCGCCATATTCAGACGTGATGCCCTTGCCGTCACGTGGCGGCCAGAGCTTGCAATCGTCGTCAATCGCATCGCTCTCGCATAGCAACGCTTCTTCGCCTTTTTTGTTTTGTTTCATTTTATCCTTCCGCACCTCAGATTTCGCTCCCATCCCCGCGTCTCCCATAGCCGCTATCATTGTGCAGGCTGACAACGATGACCCGGAGCCGATCGGTCCATGAAACCAACAAAGGAATTTCCGAAATAGTTTAGCTTAACACGAGTCGCACCCCGCTTTGAACGAAAACACGTTCTTTGATGTCGGAAGCCGTCGATCGTCATAATTGAAACAAAGCCCAAACATCCAACGACCTATAAGCCAGGCCCAAGGCCACGAGCCAGGCCGCACAGGTCGCAGGCCGCTCCTGAATTTCTCGCGAAGTCGGAACTCTGGATTTCTTCCATCACTCTGCCTATATTCGGCCCCCAATGTTGCGAAAGTCCAGTATCGATCGGCATTCGATGATCGTGAAGTGCTAGATTTCTCGGGATATCAGAGAGCGGAGCTTGATCTAAGGCATTTTCACCATGGATGAGCGTTTCGGAGAAAAATGATCGGAGGAAGACGAATTCTTTGATCCTGATGTGAAGGCGGCTCGACTCCTGAAGGGAGGCACAAGCGAGTTTGTGATCCTTAGCGAAAAGGCGGATTGGCGTGAATTATTATTATTAATTATCCGTGAATATTCACGGCTGAATCATTGCCCAGACAGAAGCAGCCGTTCTACCTATTCTTTCCGCCGGCGTCACGACTCTACGAGTCCGAAGTGTGGGAGTCGCCGCTGGACGCTCGATATTCCTACTGTTCGTATTCCCGACGCCGGCTTCGAGCCCATCCGGATTTTCGCTATGTTGCAACAACTCAGTGAGATTCTCGAACCCGATTAGACTCAAGTGTGAGAGGCTTTGCAGTCAGCGCAATCATTCGACAATTTCGCGAATGAACTCTCATCCGCTAATCGTGGGAAAGCATACTCTTGCACCTGCATTCACGAATCGAGTTCCTAAGCTCTTCTGAATTCTTTCGACTGCCAGGCCGAGCGGAAAAGTGAATCCGATTGAGGGGATCCCTCCTTCGGCTGCTATCGAATGGTTTCGCGAAGTTGAAGACTGCGGCAAAGAGCACCCATCCATCATGAGCTACTTGTCGCTGCGCGATGTCACACGCGGGTATCCCCTGAAAGGTAAACCCACTTGATACTTGAGCGGACAGCAGAGAGATGTCGCGACTCATTGAGGGAATAAAGCCTTCCTATGAATCGTTTCTTTACGTAAGATGTATCCACCTTTTCTTCTGAAAAGCTCTTCTGCGCCGACATCAGCGGTTGAAGCGGCGGCGCGGCGGCCGCTCGAGTGACTGGTGGCACGAACCCTTGCTTTCTCTTTCCGTCCCGAGTCTTATAAAAATGTCCAAGAGAGATGACTGCGGGTTGGATTCTCTTCCATGCCGTGAAGTCATCATGCTGCGACCCTTACGGATTATCTCCGTCGGTATGTATCCTCTGGTGCTTCGTGATTCGTCATACGGTGCTGTGTTCTCCTTGCGCTCGGTTCCGAGGAGCGTTGTCGGAGCATCTAAGACATCAATCTGTCCTCCTCAAGGATTCTTCTGCCGATAACTCATCGACATTCGATTCTGAGTAAATGATGTCAGTTTTATCCCCAAACAGTTTTCGGTATATTCCATCTAAACTCCGCACAGACAGGCTACCAACTGCCGGATGGCGTTGAGCTCCTGATCGGAGGCATCAGGACAACTTTCCGATGTCCCGCAAAATACGGATACTATGCTGACGTCGACAACGATTGCAAGGTAGTGATCGACGTTTGAAACCCTCTTTCGAGAAGCCTATGAATTTCAAGATCTCCTCCTTCGATGCCTAGGGGCCCGCGACCCGAGTTCTCCTGAGGGGATCAGACCTGGAACGAGATCCACTCGCTCTGATCGTCTGGATGGCGGCAATCAGACATTCCTTAAACTTGTTCTCGTCGGAATTATTCGGCGGGATATATCTGGAAAAACGTTGTAGGCCATGTCCTAAGCGTCTCCGCATTCCTTTCAAGCTCTTCCATGTGTGCAACCCCATGCCGACAGTGGACAACAGACTTCAAGTGCAGCATTACAGCTTCCTATGTGGCAACCAGACAGTATTCAATCAACTCACATTGACCTGTGCGCATGAAGACGAATCGATACCATGTGAAAACGCTCCAGATTTTTTCTACGTGAACGACAATTTCGGTCGCGAAGACGAAGTGTTCTTGACAAACAATGATGTGGAGAGCGGATACAATCTGTACACGGGTTTCGGTCGCAGGAAGAGCTACGATCCTTGAGCGACATCGGGGAGGATCGACCGAAGATGGGGGGTGAATTTGTAAATAAGACAATAAAGACCTGTGTTCCCCATATGCTTATTTCGATAGATTCCCCGGGATACCTCTAGAGGTGATCTTTGTACCGTGGTACGGCATGTGGGAAGCATTGCTTGACGGCAAGGCCTTCGTTGGCCCTCACGGAGAACTCCAGAGGAATCTTCCCTGCTCAAGGGACGGCCACCAAGGGAAATGTCTCCTCACGGGATTAACTGATCGGACGAGCCGCATATTTCGTCTTAGGACTACTCGACGCGCTACTTTTTTCATTCGAATATCGCTTCACTCCTGGCCTCTCTGACATGCCCTATCATTGCGGGTCGCTGTTCATATTCGCACCAGAACTTCAACGCCAGAAGAAAAAATTTGTAGGGAGCATGTTTCCCTGCCTCCTGAATCGGGCCGCTCTTGTTCGACCGACGCGATTGATTCCAAGCTCAGGGTATGGAATTCGGAAGCGAATAGATTTTTTTCGAGTATCCGCGGTGAATTGTTCAGTTCCCGATAAGCATTTCTCCTGGAAGCATGTCTCATCCGAACAAATCGGTCGCACGCGTTCCACATCTCGGATCAAGATCAGTCGTCGAATTTATTCGGATGAGATCTCCGGGATCACGAGTTCTAGTTCTTCATACGCCTTGACTTTGAAATCCCCGAAGCGTTCCCTGTACTTGAAGATCCACTCGGTCGCGTACGCCATCTCCCTAAGCATGAGCTGCCTCAAAGTTCGACAATCCTGAACCTTCCGAGCACTGAATGTGATTCTCGAGGCTCTGCCCTGAGTCGTCTCGAGCAAGCTCCTCCTGACTTGCCACGAAACGCTTGAATGCTCCCACGAAATCTCGAAGCGATCCCTGCGTGGTGAACTGAAGACGAAACGAGAGTAAATCCGGAATAACTCTTCGACTAAGCTCTCTCTTATGATTCGGAAGGGCTGTTTCCTGTAGAAAGATGCAGTTGGATGGATATCTTCGATGATATGACGAGTCAAGCCTCTGAGGAAACATTTCACGTCCCCTCGATCATGATGATAAACGGGAAACGGCCAGTGACACGATTCCGCAGTATGCGAATCCTCGACTTCTATAACTTCGGGAACTACCGTGTCCGGATCCGTTGTGATTTTCTGATCCGTCAAGCTTGACGACATCTCGGGAGCTCCTTTATTCTTTTGAAAGATTTTGTTATTATTAGATATTTCGGGAAGATCGAAGGCAGACGTGGTTGAGTTCTGTGGATCCACATCCTCGATGGGTATTTCATAGTTTTGATTCAAGCTCCTGGCGTTTCTCTCGAGTGATTTGTGTACGTTGTACAGGTGCTTCCAATAACGAGTGGGCTCGTCTCTGGAGTTGTGTATTCTTCTGTCGCGAGATTCCATTCACCCACGACTCATGGATGCCGGAGTTCCGTAGGGAGAATTTTGAATGCATCAGCTGAGAGCGTCCATGGAAGGGGGATATTGATAGCTGAAGATGACGAATGACGACTTAAGCGGACTTCGTTTTTTTCGTACAATGAATCCGACATACAGAGTATATCTCGACGCCTCGCCACCAGCACGGACGGGGGCCATGATGAGGGGGATGAGCTCCACCTCATCCATGGAGAAAGTCGTGACGAGAGAACCCTGAACGATATGTTTGCGCCACGATTTCTACTATAACGCTTCATGCCAATTAGACGATTAGAGGCCTTGATTCCTTGGCGTTTACTCCCGGTACAAAAATCTCCGGCTAATCACTCGCGGATCCTGAACTTTATTCAATGGCATCCCAAATCCCAACCCAGGATCACCTTTCCCAGAGTAGGCATTAGACATGACGTCGACCGCGGTCGACTGAGAATATGAAGGGCTTTCTCTTCAGATCCAGAAGATTCTGTTCTGCCTTGACGATAGAAGAGCACGACTCAGAGCCAGCCTGCGGAACACAATCGAAGCTTGTTATGGTCGACCTCCAAGGGTCGCAAAAATGGTTTACAATGACCGAGTCCTGACAATCGGGCCTCGTTATGGTGCTTCCTTAGGGTCGGTAGTCATACACTGCGGCGAAGAGGCAATCGCCCAAGGTATTCTCCGGGGACTTGTTCTCCCGGAGGAACACTACGGGTTTGGCCTTCAATTTTCGGGAACCGTCCCGTTATGATTGAGTTTTGACCGCTGTGAAAATCAGCTCCGGCTGCGCATATAAACGAGAGGACGACTCCTGCGAGCGCAGCCACCTCGGAGAGCTCCGTTCTCGTCTGCAACTCTGTTCAGCGCGAAATCTATCGCATGCGAATGCTTCTCCCAAGCGTCAACGGATATCCAGATATACACTCGCGCGGGTGCTTGTTTTCCCTCCGTGTCTGATCGACGTGGCGCCGCCCAAAAGCATGAGTAGGATCTCCACCAGGAGACTGTCACGTCGGACCTCGCCAATAGATTATTATTTTCAGGTTCGGGCCTCATCTGAGTTCGGTGAGTGGAGGTCTACCGAAAGTTTGACGTCTCTTACTTGGAATCCCCCTCCGTATCCCATTGCTCACCAGAGTTGACTTCTGTCGACTTTGGCGCTGCGGAACGGACTTCGAAACTCCGACCCACGATCGCAATCGTTGAATAATTCCAGTTGTTTTTTGTCGAGAAATTCGGACCAATTCCTCTTTTTCAGATCCGTCTTACCTCATACTTTCGGTTGGCTGACAGGAGTCGAATATATTCCACGTCAACGGAGGGAAGGATTTTCAAAAGCTGCCCGGACTTTAGTGGAAGTTTCACGCGGAATCCCACGGTCTCCGGGATACGCCTCCCAACTTTTTGTACAGTATAACGGGTTCAGCCGTTCATGTTTGCATGGCAGAGCGTGACGGGGCGATGAAAGCCTCGCGAACGAGTAGGGAGTCGGGGTCAGGGGAGTGTCGTACGGGAATCTTTTCCCTAGCGCTTTCTCGGATGAACATAATCGTAAGAGCTTATGCTCCCAATTTTTTTCCCACCTGACCACGATTTATCTAGTTGATCGTAGGTGGGTTTGTCATGAGCTCGTCGACTGGTTAAGGATTCGATTTCCGGGAGCCTTGCGAAAATTCGAATCGTCTGCCGCGGTCTTCTGGCGAAACGCCGGAATTGTCTCTTAAGGACCGCGCACGAATAGCTGCCTTCGGAAAAACGTGGCCAAACAAGAAAAATTAGTTACTAATCCGAGCGGACGGATACTGAGTGTTTAGCTCCAGAACGGTTCTCGCACGACTTCCCCGGTAATTAATGACAGGATTCGCTTTCAGCTACAGTAGTAAGCTCCTAAGTGGTGCTTGTGCAAGTCATTGAGCCCGCGTCGTCTCGTGCACACGATGCGGCAGTTCCGGAGAATTCCTAAAACCTTTTCTGGCTCAAGGCAGAAAAGCGAAAAAAAAAAAGAGATCGCTCGGGAATCCTCTAAGAGCGCGTGATATCTCATTTCGCACTCCTGCTCGTGTACAGACCGCCTGTAATGAAAATTCTTGGCGAGCTCGATCCATCGAGATGTTCGGATGTCGTTTTGCTCAAAACATATGGATGTATGCAGACGCGAGAAATCTCAATAGGTCCCAACCTCTGAATCTGACGCCTCCTGGAGGACCTCCCCCCTCTTCTATTCCTGAACTCACACAAATTCTGTAGAACAAGGGCTCTCCCGGACAGCAGATTCGGGGAATGCTAACTTTAGTGCATCGGTCCTTCGATCGCGATCCCGCTATCGCTCGCCGGGGGTTGACCCGAGCAGCCTCTGCCGAGTTCATGAGAGGTTGCGGTTGAGACCACTTCTCCTGAGACCTCCGACAGAGATGAGGGCCGAGCTCTCTTGTTTGTGAGAATCTTCCTCACATCTGTCAGAGAAAGCCGGACTCATGTGGCAGACCTTCGTCCTACTTGTTCCCTCATCAGGTCCTTAATAAGCGAAAATCTTCCATCCGTCGAGAGCATCGTTAGCCATCGCCCAGGGGCTCTGGGGGACTCCACGTGCGGAATCTCAGCCTCCACAATTCCTAATTCGAAGAGCGAGCCCGATACCTGCTATGACGCGACGGTGGCGCTCGTGAAGATTGATACGCTCGGATACTCTCTCCGGGCTTCCTTCCGAGCAAAGATGTAACATTTCGCATTATCTTCCTCGCGAAAGATAATTAATTTCCCATGGCGCTGGCTCCTCTACATTCTCGTCTCGGGAGGTTCCGGTCGATGCGCTCGACTACAAGGTTTCAAAACGAGTCGGACAACCGAGAAGAGAAATGAAGGCATCCGATTCCAAGAGCTCCTGAGAGGTCCTAGCTAGTGATCTCTTAGTCATGGAACGTAGCCAGGTCAAACACCGTGGCCGGCGCCTCAGACTACGCCAGCGATAGCGACGAGTGAACACAACCGGAGACAGGAAAACTTGCCAGCCTCCTTCATTGTGTTAAAAGTTGTCGAGTTTTCCTCCTGTACCTCACCCCAGCACAGTGTACACAATCGCCGGCCCGGACATACTAACAAATACGCACACAAGACTTGAACCTTGCGAAACGGACTGGCTGGTCAGGCTAGCAAGCAGCCTCTTTCCGATAGTCCGGGTCTCCATTTCAAGCAGTCCCGAGCTTCAATTACCCCAGGATCGGTCTTGCTTGACGAATAAATTGCTCTGCAAACATTGCAGGGAGCCCACCGGGATTTTCGGGATCACACTGAATCTCAAGCATGAAGGTACCTAGACGGTCCGCGGAGAGGAGACCTCTCATTCCACGGCACTTCCCCAAAGTGACCGGGCCATTTTCCGGCTCACCCTGGTCATTGAATCGCCTCATGAGTCATGATACAGCCCGCGTGCGTGAAAGAGCCATTCGTATACGAAAGTCCTCGGGTAGGCAAACTGACCTCTGTTGAATCTTAGTCAGACGAATCCTACTACACGCCGGGGGCTCCTGTTACGGAGCGGGAGTACTCGGTGGTTCCTCTAAACACCTGCTCAACCTCTCTACCCCAGAGAGATCCGAAAACCCGGAGAAGGCAATGTCCACGGGATATTTGTGACTCTTTTTTTCCCTTCGCGAATAACGCGCAATTCATGCATATTCGCTCAGCTCATGTTGTACTTACTAAAGCATGACTCGAGTACGGCTGCAATCCTGACTGCAGTAATAACATGTACGCTCCTTATGCGGTTCGTCACGCTGTCTTTTTTCCTCCTGGGATCCGAGCGGCAATCTTCCAGCAGATGAGACTCATCGACTTCCGGATGGGTCTGCGATTGGTCTCGACATCCTCGTTCTCGCTCGACGCTACTCGGGAAAACCGGAATTCGGCTAGGCATCTCCGAGTAATCTGGGCTTGGAGATGCTAGAATACTTCCCGTACAGGCATCCCGGTACAGTTGACGACGGGAATTCGAGCAGGTCGTCTCCATTGAAAACTGACATCTTGCTGGACACCCCCAACGGAGTTTGCTCTCGCCTGGAGCGTTCGCGGCATCTGGATTTCGCTCTTATCTGCATCTCCCGGAGGCCTCCCGTCGTCGACATCTATTCTATGACTGGAAGGTTCCTCGTACCCTTAAGACCAACGACACGGGATTTGAATCTATGAAATGGTTTGGAAACTCTCGACGCGCGGAGCAGAAACGTGCGGAGTGGTTCCGAGAAGCGGGCTTCTGCGACGAAGTGTTTGCACGGCAATGCCATGCGATGAATACGGGATGCCGGCGAGTCAACGAGTGTTCATCGATCTCAGTTACATCAAACACCTGGGGACCATTACAGACGACAGAATACACGACGACGACGACACACGGAATGACGGAAGAGTCCATGCTCGCACCGAATCCTCACCATCGCTAAAAGCCCGACGGAGCTGACGGTACGCTGACCACGCTCGGCCAGATCAACTTAATATCACTTGTACCAGGTGTGCCCGCGGATCCGCGGATCCGACCACTATCCGTATATCGTTCTCCGAGCCATTGGCTCGGAGACTTGCTCGAGTGTCTGTCGCTGCCATCTGTTGATCTGCGGACTTCAAAACAAAGTTCCGATTCCTGGAAGTTCGCTCGACAGCTCCGACTGTCTTTTCGGCTCTCAGTCCCCTCCCGCGAGGATCGAGAGGCCTTCCCGGCGCAACTTCAGAAAAGGGTGACGCAGCACTTCCCGGAAGAAGTATTAGTTGAAACTCGATCATTTCTACGGTGCAACTTCTGTCGCCTGAAGCAACATACCGCAGACTACGGAACTTAATTCAGTGTCGACAAGCTCAGCAAGGATGATCGACGTCGTTTGGCAGAACTGAAATACCTACTCGACCACCACGAAATGGAAAATTCATTAAACGTGACCTTTAAAGCTGTCGACGCCGCGCCGTAGCGCGAAGCTTTCGGTCATTTAGGATGTAGGTGAATTTTTCCCTTCTCCCCATGAGGGTAAAAGATAAGGCCAATCTAAGAATTATCTCCCACCGGCAACGCCTGCCTCGGGGTCTATCCATCTTGCCGAGGGAAGTAGAATCCCCGATCCGGACCTCGGAGTGGCCCAGAGATTAAATGCTTTCTCTCACTCAGAGCTTATTATGGTTTTTCCGGCGTTGCGTAGGTCTAGGGAGGAAACGGTATTCTGAGCTATGCCGTGAGACAGGAAGCAGGAATCAAAGCCCTGACGAACGAGATCTAAGACGCAGATTCAGGCGTAGGGAATGTTCATTAATTTGTTTCCACGGGCCAGTTCATCTATGAGCAGGTTTTTCGATTCGATATGTATGTACATAGAAGCGGCCCTGGAATATTTCAATTACTTACCGTGCTCGGGAGTCTCCGTAGATATTTTCGGTACATGCGGCGGTGTATTCGCGCCCAAGAGGTCGGCTACCTCCACCGAGAGAGAACCTTCCCGTGGTGAATATGCCCGAGAAGAATCTTGTGAACCGAGATCGAGGGAGTCGAGATCACCTGCTATTGACGGCATGAATCATGGGTTCTCTCAGGTTGACTCTCGTGCGACTGTTGATCTGTAGAAAGCATATAAGGAACAATGCATCCACTCCGGAACCGCATACGTTCCCTCGACTCTCACTGGAGGGGTGAACTCCACCAAATGTGGATCTGCTCGCCGGGCACTCTGGTTAGAAGCGGTTGCTCCGGTTCCATTCATGGGCCTCGGAGCAGAAGCCCACCAACCCCACCTCAAATCTCCGATCTCTTGAAATCTGTGTCGGAGAGACACATTTGAATGTGAAACATTATCGTCCGGAAAATAATCATGACTCGAATATTTACGCGCTTCCGTCGGATCCCTGCTTCCGTCAAAGCTCATCTGCGGAGAAACGGCCCTCGATGCGAGGGCCGTCCTGAGTCGACCTCACTCAGTGAAAAGCCCTCAGAACACATTCCGTTCTCATTCCATGGAATAGTAAGGATGGAAATTCACGGGGGCGCACCGCGTACCGTGTCGACGTACCGATAGCTTCTTCGATTTTCAGCGCGGTGGAGGCGCCGGCATCGGGACTCAAGGACTCGACTCCGTGACGCTGACGCCATATCTTCGTAGATATTTCCATGCGCAGTTCATCGAAAAAGTAGTGAGTTATGCCTCGGAGGGCAAGCATGAGCTCGAGATGTCATCGAACATATTGAATCGAATAATCAATATGAAAGTATGACTGCCTTCGAAAACTCTGAGCAACTTTCGCAGCTCGAACGACTTCAAAATTTACGACCAGCCCTTAAGTTGACGACATGGCATAATATCCCGAGAAAATTTTAAACAGGATCCGCCAAAGCCTTCCGTGCTCTCCTCGACTGCTAAGGGGACTTTGTAGCCCGGTTTCCCTCGGTCAAGTCGCTGGAGGGTCGTATCGATGTGCGGAGCGAGAAATCAGTTGAAATGTCGATACCGATAGAGACGTAGCGCCCCGTTCAACTTTCTCTACGACTTCCGTGAGGCACGGCGTAGGAATACGTGGTGAGCAAGCTGTGGTCGGCTCGAATGTCTAGGGACTTCCTCAAGGTCCCCTTCGCAACTTGTTGGAGCGCTGGTCCCGTGTTTGCGGTGTATACGAATCCTGTTCTGTGAGGCTGCACTGCAAGAAGGAGGGTACGGAGGCGTGGCCTCGGGGACCCGCGTTCCCTTTCCGCCCGCGAACACAAAACGCCGTTCAGGGGGGCTTTGTGGCCATATTTGCACTCTGTCAGCTCGCCGAAGCTCTTGCGACCGAACAGAGATCAACTTCGTCGAAGCAACACCGGTCCCCCACACGTGAGTTCCGCTGACCTTCCTTCCAGCATCCGCTGATGCTCGCTTGACTCCCGAACCCCATGAAGACTCCCAACAGAAGAGCACCGAGACCTCGAGAAACACGACGACTACGATCTTTGGATTACCTGAAGTGCTGATTACCGAACCGCCAGTGAGGAGCGCGTCGACTTCGACTCTATTTCGACCTCATCCTCGGGTGGAGGAGTTTCAAAACTGGAGCGAAGTCTGAACCCTGTGGAAGTCTCGAACCCCGGTGACGCCGACGATACCGATCTCGCCGAAAGATCATCCCGCTAGCGCCGTTCCAGGAAACACCTTGACAGTTCGGTTCGCCTCGGCTCGCCTAGAAGTGAATGGTTCAAGGTCGATGACGCCGAATTCATCGCTTCTTACCCACCCGCGGGAGCTCGTCCGGGGACGAATGACTTTGAGAATGACGTGACGGTCTGATTTTCGATGGAGATTCGTGGCGCTGTGACATATGCCAATCAAGCGAGCCGATCGTCGACCCTCGGTGATCATATCCTCATCCGCGAAATCAGCAGTTGGAAATCGGCAGACTTCTCGCACCCGCGAGAGAAGTTGTCGACGTTACTTATTGACGGATCTCGAGTGTCCTCGAATGTGTGGCGGTACGAATCGCGGATAACTCGCTCATCGAGACCCATGGAGATCATGAGCAGACAATCAATTCTAGGTTCCGGGGAGCGTCGGGGGAAAAGTGTAGGAACAGCCCGACTCAAGGAGCTTCCCCAAGATCGGGGCCTCGACATTCGAGATTCTCGAATGTGAGAGACGGTCGAGCTCTCACCGAGAGTCAAATAGGGCCTGATCCTCGATGAGTGAATACCTTCCGCGGGGATTCGAGTTGAATCAAATGTACATCCTCGCGGCGCTCAACGAACGATCGGGCTCTCGGAGCGGATGACCGATGCGCTGTCAAATTGGGAACCTTGATCCCTCATTGTGAAATCTCGCGAGTTTTGCTCGAGCAGAACCATTCCCCCAAATGATGGTTCTTCTGGATCGAACCTACCGGCTTATCGAGTTGAGAGCAAGGGAATATCGAGGTCGGAGCTCGAGTCGGACAAGGCAAACATCCGATACGTCGACCACCCTTCTTGAAAGAGACGCTTGGAAAGTCGTGGGAGCTCGAGAAAACACGAAGATGCCCCCTGGGTTTGAACTTTCTTGAATGGGGAATTCCCGTTCACTCTAAGCCCTTCCGGTGATTGCTACCATCAGTACGTCCGAGCCGATCGAGGGACTGCGCTAACGAAGCTCCATTATTGTATAATTGAAAAGCTAACAATGGTCTCTGTGAATACGAACGGCTTCCCGCGACGTCCACTCGCTAACGATCGCCGTGGTGCGCTCCGCGAGCTGCGTATTCTTGATTTTCAAACTGCGAGCATCGCATAATTATCCGTGTTCGTAGGTCTTCGTAAAGTTACGCCAGCCGTGAGCTCAACTCAGCCCTCGCTAGAGTACACCCGTTCAGCAGAGCTTGACGACGTCAACGTAACGGCGCGGCGGCGCTCATTGAGATGCCGAAGTTTACCCGGACCTCCGCGCGGTCGGAGGACGCTACGAACTGGAGCCGGAGTCCGACCATAATATCCGTAAAGAACTCTTTGCACGAGGTGTTTGATGTTTCCATATCGTCCGCCTTGTCAAGCGGGTGTTTCCGTTACTAATTATTTCAAGACGAGCTCCCGCCTCGACAAACTCAATCACGAGCTTACTCGGATGCATATGCCTCGTTTGTTGCACCTTATCCGCGATAGAGAGACGCAGCAAGTCTAACGAGTCGGAGGAAAGTTCAGGGAGTCGTAGTCGACCTTCGTGTGCTTCCAGACCTCATGGGCGAAGGGATAGAGAAGTTCCTCGACCTTGGGTCGCATATTGTCGGAAGGAAACTCCACCGTGAAGGATACTCGATGCACAGAGCGAGGATTCGCCAAGCCACGCATGCTACGCGACAATAAGCTGTCGTGGGAGGACACTGTTCTATGCCGTAATCAAACGCTACAAGAAGGGACAACGTCGAGGACACACGTGTGCTCACGTGAGCGGGCACGAATACCCATCCGATAACAGTTTATGCTCCTCTGGGGAATTAAACCAGAAATCCCACGATAAGCCCACATGATTGTCCTATCATTTTCCGCTTGCCTCAGTCCTGTTCTCCCTATTGCCGCTATTGTCCGCGCAGGTTTTCTTCAAATTGCCTTCCGGCGAGCTTTCCGTAATGATCCTAGCTTCGCGCGCTGTTCTGCCACGATGACGTCTTGGAACGCCAGCGCGCTCACGACTTTCGCACGGTAGCCCCCGCCGAATCGCTCTCGAAATCCGGAGTGATAGGTAATTAGCGAGAAGAGATGCCGCTTACGCAGAGAACGATCCTGACGGGAAGCTTATGAGAGCACAGAGGACATTCGTTATGCGCGAGATTGTCCGCCGGAGTCAATTTTCCGGGTCGGCCAAGCGTTACTCCTTGAGGTCTCTTCCTAACCACTGGGCTGCTGGTCCTCCGAGGAAGCGCCGCAGATGATTCTGACATGCGGTGAGGCAGGTAAATCGAACACGTTGTCGGCACCTGTCCCTGAAGGAATCTTTTTTTCCAGAAGAAAATGAATTCGTCAAGCGCATTGCTACTGGGTCTTGTTGCTTTGGCGGCTTTGATGGTTCTCTCCGAAGGGGCGTCGGTACCCAATTACGCCCCACCAAATGCCTTCAAATACCACCGGCGGTAAGTAACTTCAAGGCGCGAATGATCTCGGTCGATTATTGCGAAACTTCTCGAATCCGAGGGCGAAGGAGGTGCTCTGCCGCATGGCGGACACTAGGGGAACTGCGAGGCGAGCGGGAAAAAAGCTTCGTTGGAATATTGATGCCCATTTTTGCCACATGGTAATAGGCAACACCCTCAGTTGGCGTTCTCGCCTCCGAAATTGTTTCGATCAAGTCCATGGCTCAAAGGGAGCTGACTGTGGTCTCTGAATATCAATCTTCGCTTTGGGAACGAGACTCTCTTGTACCCAGTCGGCGACGACGGATCGGGAGGAGAGAAATAACGAAAATTCCTTGCTGTAACGTCCGGTTAGGGTTTGCACACTTGAGGATGATCCTTCTGGAAGAGATCCCCGTCGACGAATCCGCAGTCTGTTGCCGTCATTCGATCAGGACCCCTGCTGTGAGCTCTGACTAAGTTCGGGTCGTCATCGATTCGGGAGGACGTCCAGAGACGAAAGCGTCAGCGTTCCCGGAGGGGAATCGAACCACCGGAAATCTGCGCCCTGCTCTTGCAAAATCCCGTTATTCCTTCTGGCATTGGAAAGCTGTTCCGACTTCAGGCCTCGCACCGAATACTGTCATCGACAGTAATTGCTGAGACTGGTAGATCAGTAGTCAAGTTCCGACCAGAGACATGACCTTTTCTGCTTGTTTCCAGAGCGAGCATGCCTTCCCTGTCGGTAGTATCGCCGCTCGATGTCTTGCGTGAGAGCCAGATGAGCCGAATCCTGGCAGATAAAATAAACGCAAATAACGCCCTCCTGTCGAGATATGGAAAGCGAGGCGAGCCAGTAAACCTACTTCAAGTAAGTCAGAGTCTCTCGAAATATGAATTATTCGTCAAGTGTCGGGGATCGAGTCCGAGGATACTCTCTCGGGCATCATATTTCCGCTAACAGAACGGCCTCGAGTCAGCGAGAGAAAAGTTCGGAGCTTTAAGTGAGGAAAAGAACTAGGAGACAGCCGCTCTCTGCATCTATACTTCCAATGACCTTTCTCGTGCCTCCATCTCGAGAGCATCCGGATTCGTATTGCAATGAGCGAAGAGATCGCGCCCGCTGAACAAGGTGGTTCGAGATGTGCGGCCCTCATGCACGTGTACATCGGAGCATAGGCGTCAGTGTCGTGTTGGAGCGGCTGTTCCCTGCGCGAAGACCGTCTGAATCCTCGGACTGGCGGAGCTGGCCCATTCTGACTCGCTCATGTCATACGCCTCAGCCATATAGACAGGGGAAGACGATGTCAGGCGGAGATGTTCTCAATTTCCTTGTTCTTTACATTCCGGGTCTAGACAAAGCCGAGAAAAGATGGGGAAATGCATATCTAGCCGTGGCTCAAGATGTTCCCGCGTCGAGGGGCTCGTCAGAGAGTCATCTCTGGGAAATTCCTCCCTCCACTTCACAACGCCCAGTGCTCGCGCGCTGAATACATAAGAGTTAACGCTAACAAGGAGCAGATTCCGAGTCTCTTTTCCGACATATTGAGCTGAAATCTGAGCGGAGCAGCAGAGCGTCGGTCGGGAACCTCAGAGACGCGCGGAAGCCGGCGGATCCGCATCCCATTCACTCAGGATCGGCCGTTGGAGCCTTGCGACGATTGAACGATCTACGCAATCGACGACAGATCGAACTCTTTCTCCTAATTGCTTCGCCAGCTGAGAAATGGAGGCATTCTTTGGTTGCAGGTGCTCGAGGAACTATCTCAAGCAGAGGAAGCATGAGGTCACACCAAGCGATGGCGGAAAGTGATCGGCGAGTGCGGGAGTCGTCGAAAAAACAAGAACGAGGTGGAATTGGAGTCGAAAGGAGGCGTCGAAGGATCTCTTCAAGGCAGGGCACACACGGTGGCAGGCCTTGGCCTGGGATTGGGATCCCTCCCACAATTCGTAGCTTAGACTGTTAGATCGTGCGACGGGACATGCAGACATTCTATCCTAGCCTCTATTCGAGTAGATCGTCTCAACAATTCTCTCTCTCATGTTGCTTGAGTCCAGCGGAGAGCCAGCTGTCATCGAAGATTCGAGATCTCCGGGACGCTGGGTAGGGCCGAAAACCCGACTCGTGTCTCAGCGTTGAAAGGGCCGACGTTAAATAAACGCAGCAGAGCATATTGTTATCTCTTGTTTTCGTCTGATCCACGCGTGTTTTGTTGTGTTAAGATCTCGCTACGAAGCGGCTCTCTACCGTCCTCGCCGTCACGAGGCCTGTCGATTTGCCCTTCGGTTACGTAGATAAGACTTCCAATTATACGTTTAGCTCTCTCTCTCCATCGATCAACATTCTCCTCGAAACGGTCACTCATACACATATCATGAATCGTATCGGGAAAGAGCGAAAACTCCTCATAGGAGTGAGCCATTTATCAATAAAAAATACCATAGATGAATGCATCGCGATGCATTGATTTTATGCAATTCAGCCCCTTTTTGGTGGAGTTTCTCCCCCGATGAGCTTTTCTCAGCGCGACTCCCAGTCGTTCAGGTTCTACCACGAGCCATTGGAAAAACTCGTCACCTGAATCACTGCGATGGTCGGAGGACTCTGCGACGCGAATCCCTCGGGGATGGTCCTAAGGTGACGTATTTCTTCTTAGAAACAAGCGGTACCCGTCCTAACATTGGCGAACGGGGTCCTCTCGAGCGATTGAGTCGACGCGAATCGAACTCATTCATTATTTCCGGGATCGGTTCTGGTCCGCTTTCAACGACGGCATCGCTGCGCCAGCGGCTATGCAATCACAAGGATACTTCCATGACCACCGCACGTATGATACGGCTTGACCGGTCTTGTTCGACATCATCGACGTTTCATGGGATACTTTTCCCTCTCCATGCCGTTCAGGGCTCCGGTGATTCCCTGAAATAGTCCGACCCATCAAGATCTAGGAATTCGAGAGCGTCGTCTGCTCGTGCCGACTCCTCGTGACCCTACACGATTCTCATGATCGGTTCGGCGACTTCGTGGCCTCGCATTTGAAATATCGAGAATGGCAACCAATTGAACGCGCGCGGAGCTCACTCCCATCCAGGAGTATGGGGAGATGTTGGAGCAATCGATGTACAGCATCGCTCATCGTTCGTTCGCTCATCTCAATCGAATGCTCCACGATCAGGCAGAGAGAGTGGCTTCGGAAAAATGCAATACACGCCTCCAGAATCCGCAAAGGCCGAAGTATTTTACTCGTAGCGAGAGGACCCTCCGACATTCACCTGAAATTTCGCTGATCCCTTTCCTTGATCATGCCTGGCTGGATATTCTGGTCCGCTCTCGGCCAGGCGACGATGTCCATCCGAGCGAGAACTTCCTGCAAGAAAGCTATTTATTTCTGAGTTGCCGTCGCCAGAATAAGTTCTGCTGCATGGCGGTCAGTAAAGAAGGAACGCGAAGTGCGCGGGAGAATTCCAGCGGAATGACTTCGCACGCGCACGGCGCGGGGGCCGAGTCTGTAGCCGAAGGCCGAATTGACTTCCTGACATCGAAATGCCATCATACTGATGGCAATATTTCAATAGCTCGTCCGAGCTGTAGGAAATACTCATGCGGCTTCGTCGACTTCGAATGCAAGAAAGTGCATGATTTTCTAAGCATGTGGTCTTCTATAGGCATTCGTGCCGCTTCCTCAGGATTTGCTCCGAATTCAGTCGACAACGTGCCACCAAGCAGACCGCGTCTCTCTCGTCCACTCCTTGCGGAACGTTCGCTCTCCCGCCAACAACATTCAACAACACTCGCATCCCTACAAAGATTGCTTCGCTCGAAGTTCCAGACAGACGCCGCGACTTCGATCGAATAAGAGTCCCCGCGAGCGAACTGTTTAGGAGTGCTTAGGGGAACAGTTGACAGCGTGCAATTAGATTTGCGTGCGCAGTGTAAATATCATAGGGAAGAGCCGCGTTGTAGTATCAGTGATCGGGTAGATGCGACGTACGAGTCCATGACCGAGAAACTCACTTAGGCCTTGGCTCGCTGCTTCCACCCCAAAAGGGGTATGCTGTCCCCGATGCCCTCACCAGAAACTCGTTGCAGACGGCGGCGCCGGCGTCGAAATCATGGGCGAGCAACTCCCTGGGACCGGAATCGCTCGTGCAGCTGAATGTTGCAGGAGTCGTAGTCGATTCCCGCAATTAGCGGTTCCACTGTCGGCTGATGATTCTGTTCCCGGAATCATGTCGGAGGATCGAGGTCGAGGGCGCCAAGGGAGGCAAGGAATGCCTGGGTTTTACAATTCACTGCGCTCGGTTTAGGGGATGCCTCGTTACGGACAAGCGTTACAAGAGCCCGCGCAGACCTTGCTGGCTGCTGATCCTGACGAGCCGCGAGTAGCCTGTTGGGTAGCCTATCCCTCCAGCCTATCTATATCTCCAAGGTGTCTCTTAATAATAGATTCTGAGTCAGATTGAATCTTTGTGACAAGCGAACGATACTCAGCCCGTGCTCCTCGAATGAATTTCCTAGGAATACCGTTTGGGCCGTTGAGCGGGTCTCCAGCGCAAGTACTCCCCATAAGGCGACGGAATCGGTGAGAATCGGTGAGACCCAAGGTTCATTTCAGCAATCGGATCCAAGACGTTGGCGTAGCCCTTCGCGTGGAACGACTCAAAACGTACTGAATAGGTCGAATCCGAGAAAGACTTCGAAGGGACCAACGATATCTGCGACGATGTGAGTCAAGTTCGAGTGAGAAATCTCGATGCCCAGGCTCGGCATGCGATATTCCCGGAGACGGCCGACCGTGTATTCGTTCCTCATACCCAAACTCTCCTCCGTGGAGTCTAAGGAGCTGCGCGCGGAGACCATCACAAGCCCGTTCCTCTTTGGTTCGATGCTGGCTGACATACTGAGAGCGCTCCGTCGAGGCGGTTGAATATCTCTGGCTGATTAGACGATCTAATTAGGCTACTCGTGCGATACTGATTCAATACGTTCATCGTTGGCCGAAGATACCGATAGTGGGCATCGTTTCCGCCCACGAAGCAACGACGGAACAGCCTGCTCCGTGACGGGGCAAGGTCTCGCTGGGCGCTTCCCCTCTCGTAACTTCACGAGAAAGAGAGAGAGGTCGAGCCTGGGAACTTTCGAGACGTCGCGAATATCGATCCTCAGCGCTGTAATGCAATATATGTTCATCAAATCTCCCGAGTAAGCAAATATATTCTGCTTCGCTCTTGACAATAATGCCTGCCTCGCTGATTGATGATGACGATCGAATCACAAGAAGATCACTCCCGAGAAGGATTGACCTCTCCAGAAGCGACGAACTCGACTTCCAGAAGTATTTCTATATGACAAAGAGTATTCCTACGGTGTCCTCGGGTCTCCGGAGCGACGAATGCAGCGTCACGGGAGAACCTGCACCGAATAACGAGTGGATTTGTTTGACAGGCGTCAGGGCTCGTGTCCCATTGGCGGCGGGTCTTCGAATATTTGCAGAAGAGCACGCTGTCTTGTACGAAGTTTGGTAGCCTCGATTTCTATGGCAAGTCCATCGGATTCCACGCGGGTGCCCCGAGTCGAGAAGCAAGATCGTAGGAATTTTATTTCACAAGCTGTGAATTTTCGGACTCGACTGATAAACTGTGCGCGAACTCGAGAAAAGGCGCCTTCTCTTGTAGAGCGGGAAATCCCGACCGACGGTGGGAGCATCTGCTCCACACGATTAATTGACACAAGTGATTAGGCGGGATACTTCAATATGACACGCTACACGAGCTCAGAATCAGAATGAAAATATAGAGCACGCTTCTATTCGGCGACTCGGAAGTGTAGAAAATACGAGGAGCGGAGCCGATCTTTGTTGCGCAATCTTCCCGCACTCATTTCTATCAGCCGTCTACAGTTCTCCTACAATCTTTCGGTGAGACGTAGCTATAGCTCTTGACGAAGGCTCTCATCATCCGCTGGAATGTGGCTCATCTCGCGGAGCCATTTATTCAGTCCGGCATTGAGCAACTCACACCTGCGATTTAGTCCTGGAAGCGTGTTTATAATTTTTCCGAGAGGTAAGCTCTCCGGAGTTTTGACCCTTGTACATCAGAGACGCCAGAATCGAGAATCGACCCTCGCTAAGTCGTGTTTCCGAGGTCCAGGCGATCCCCGAGGAGCACTGGATATGCATTTTTTCTCTGCAGAATCACGAAATTGTCTACTTTGCGGCTGCCGAACGATTCATGGAATACATTGGAAAACCGCTGAGAAGATGTCGTCCTCAGATGTCGGATGAGGAGTAAACGGCCCTCGACCGCCGACTACCTCATCGAACGGACCGGAGAGGAATCGGCCCGAGCCCTCATGCCCTTCGGGAATATAATAGATCGTACTGGACTGTACTGCCCTACACTCGGTGCGTGTTTGGTCCTCATGATATAATCCTATTCCAGTCCTTATGCATCGGACGTTCACCGTGGGGATCCGTCAAGGTGAACCGCATGCGAGCTTATGCAATACGACCGAATGACCCGTCACCGTTCACACCCCGATCCGAGAAGTTCTCTGCTTTTGAAGGGAAGAAGCGCGAAGAGGCAGTTCTGGAGCCGCTGTGATTTACATTGTCTATGATTCTCTATATGATCGCTATGTGGTGAGAGATAACCCTTCAAAACGAGATGCGAAGGACGTTACACTTTCGAATGCGTCGAATGCACGTCGAATTCGACTGGATACAGATCTAGTCCACGAATCCTAAATTTTAATTAGGGAGATACCGTGTCCGATGCTGATTGAAGTGGGAAACATGTAGATCCCGTTCAGCAAGTACCCGCTCACGCACTACAGTCCTGATTACGGAGCTCAACGCGAGTGATCCATTGAGGGTCGTTGTGAGGCTGGAACAATGTGAACCATGGGAAAACGAACAGTCAGGGTTCTTTCGACAACGTGGGAGCTCGGACAAAATATGCATGACAATTTATCACGGGGGCGTTGTAATCCCACCGGCGAACGGGAAATCGGGATCTTTCACAAATTCGAAAGTCTGATGACCTCGCGCAATGAGCATTCCCGCCTTGAGGCGTAGGGGAAGCTGATTCCGGGCCGAGTCGAGCTATCGAACAATGTGAGGCTTCAAGAACCCCGACGCAAGTTTCAAGTCGAGGTCGAGGCTCCGCTGA